AACGTCCAAAAATTGACCGAACCAGGGAGCTCCGCGGTTATATTTGCGCGAGCGCCAACATAAGTCCAACTCACCGCGAATAGCAGCGGCCCGACAATGGCATCGGTTCGCAGCACCTCGTCGCCGTATTCTTTTTGATAAAGTTTCTTTGGAATTAGTGCTCCGGTGTATGTGAACTCCGGATAAGATGGCATACGCTTCATCGATTCTGGAACTACCGTATCTTACTATACAGGGTGCCCCAACCCCCCAATTGAGCCAGCGGGCGCCCATGAAGCTGAAAATTTGCACAGAGGTAGCGAAGGTTGCAAGGAATCTGATCTGTAAAGTTACTGTTTGTGTGTGCCACTTTTGCTTGGAAGCTCCGTGCGTGTGTCAGGAGATTATCACAATCGTGGAGCATTCTTAAGCGTGTGGGATACGTCATTAGGTGCGTAATGGCCCTCAGATGCCTACACACTTATCAGGTTTCACAATAAACTACCGTCGAGGTTAAATTTGAGTTTTTGCAAAACTTCCAGGAACGCTTTTCGTCAGGAAACAATTAACATAGATCGGAAATGACTGCAGACTCAGGAATTTCATTTTTTCATCGAGATTCGTGGTGAAGTGTGCAAAGCGCCGAAGAATATGGATTTTGGACGGGGCCATGTGAAAAGCCGTGTACGAACTTCGCGAAACGTACGTACGTGATGTAACGAAATAGCGTCGAGGAGATGCAGTGAGACTTAAAGAACTACAGTAATGCAAAGATGCCTAAAAATCCAAGACAAACTAAGTTCATATGAGTGCGTTTCGCAAAGCAGGTGAGTTAATAGGGGGTCTTAAAAGACCCGCAATTGTCGGTTCTGATTGAATTTGAAGCAACCGTAATTAAAGCGCCTGTAGCGTGACAAGGAAACGAACGCATCGGAGGCGGAAGGCGCCACGGCAAACAGCTTCTAGTTTGGATATCCCACGTCCGAGCAGGTAACATTGGAAATATGGCCAGACTGCAGGAAATATGGGCACAGCGAGTGAAAAATGCTGCATATCGGGTCCTGCTGACCTTTTATTTGCCGATAATTGCGGTAGGTGGGCCGATTTTCAGTCGCGAAAAAATTCGTAGTGTTGAAGTTGGCATATTATGCAATTTTGATTTCTAGTGCGACTTTGCTAATTTTCCACGATCGTTTTTTCGACATTTTTATAGGAGTCCTAGTTAGCAATCCACCGCCAGTTATTTTCTTAAAAGTTTTCCAGGGGACTAAACCAATTTTAGTTGTGCTTGGTTTCATTACCAATGCACAGCTACGCAACGTGGATAGTCGTCAAGAACAGATCGTTGGCGTTTACCGTCAAATTCTTAATGGCGCTGCTGGCACTTCTGCGGCTGGCCAGCGCCATTTTGCGGAGTTTCTTTGCGATGTGCTATCATCGGTATGGTATTTCCTAAATTTTGAACAGAACAACGGTGTAAAAGTATTGAAATGTTCATAGAAACTTTCAGCTACAGTAGTTGTCGGGTTATTGAAAAGAATAAACTTTATTTTCGGTTTTTAACCGGGGTTGTTTTGATCGGATTTTGACTCGAGAGGGATGAGGAATTAAGAGCGAGAGTGCAAAAGAAGCCGAAAAAAGTAGCCGAAAAAAGTAAATTATAGAACAAGTATTTACGTAATGACTCGGAAAGTTATGTAGCTAGCGGCCGAAAATTTTTGTAAATATTTAAAATTTCTCTGCGCGTCTGTTGAAAATCTCGCGTCGAACGGACCCGAAATGACGGAATGCCAGCGTGAAGTTTTTATTGGGACACTCTGTATGCTTTGGCATAGGAAAAACTGCTGGTATCCGGTGCTGCAGATGGGCGGTTCGATTTATCCCACCCCTACAAATGCCGCGGTCAGCGCGCTGTACCAGATCTCGAACCGATGGATGGTATTTTTGGAATTGGGGCTTTCGATTAACAGGTACAGTCTGGGGCGTTAAAGGGGGAAAGAAGGCTTGGAAAGGAAACCAACCTTTTCGGATGTTCGGGAGGGACCGGTAAAATCGACAAAAGCTCGAAGTTACGATGTATTATGCATTCACTCGTCTTCACAGCATCAAAATTTTTTCCAATATTATCCTACTATCCTACTATATATAAAAAAATAGTGTCTGTGTGTGTCCGTGCCACTTTGCATGCAACTTCCGTCATTCTGTCCGGAGGATATCTCGGAAAGGGGAGGTTTTTAAGGTATGCTTGATACGTCATTAGATGCGTAATGGCCTGGAGATGACTGCACATATAAAAGATTTTACAAAATCAGCTATTTACAACGTTCAATTTAAGTTTTTCTAAAATTTTCAGGGACCCTCTTTGTTAGGAATCAATTAACATACACCGGAAGTGGTAATCGCCCATATAATGGGAGAGAGGACGTGGTTTTCATTTTTTTGTCATCTGAATTCGTGAAAATTATGTAAAGCGAAGAATTTCATGGGATCAGACGGGGCCAGGGTTGAAAAGACGCGAAGCGGCTTTTCAGCCCTGGTTAGAGTTCTAAAAATTTGAATTCTTGCCAAAAATGTTTTGTTTTTTGTGCAACCGATAATTTTACCAATTCTATATAGCCTTTCATTAATCTGAAGTTAACAAAAGCTATTAAAAAAAGCTTGGGTTGACTTGGCGTTATAATCAATCTCTATTGAAAAAATCGTCTTCCAGATTTTTCGCCCTATTCTTCGATGGTAGGTACTATCGAACCGTGCAAAAAAACGACAATTCCGCTGACCATCGTGACATTCGTGCTGACAACGTCTCCATACCTGATTGGAATACACAGGAAAAAGGTCAAAAATGCCAATTATAAGGGCACGGTGATGTACGGCGACTATATCAATATCGAACACGAATTGAGCCATCCCTATGAGACCACTGAATTCCAGGTGCACATGATAAAAAATTAAAAGAATAGGTTTTGGTTATGCGGGGGGGGGGGGTACTGGACGTTTAGAAGGGGGAAGCTCATTCTTCTCACTTCAGTAATCCTGCAATCTCATAAAGAATATACAGTGCGTGCCAAAATGATAGGGGGAATGGCGTTTTCAGCCGTTTTCTCGGCCGTCTTCCATTTCCGTGTAAAACAAAATCATAGGTCTTATAGCCCGAAAAGAAACGCGTCTTTTGGTCTACTTGAAATCCCTTTATGCCAAAAAATCACGTTTTTAGAAGCGAATGTATAAAAATAGGCAAATAACACAAGTGACAAAATGATAGGGGAATCATTAACATATCATTTCCATCAACTTTCTGTATGAATAGTGGATGTTGTTTGATTTTAATTACAGATTCATAGCGGGAGAAGATGTAAAAATCGTATTTTCTGGCCAAAATTCTGACCGGAAGTCGTCGGTCAAATTTTGCATCTAATTAACATCCACTATTCATACGGAAAGTTGATGGAAATGATATGTTAATGATTCCCCTATCATTTTGTCACTTGTGTTATTTGCCTATTTTTATACATTCGCTTCTAAAACTGTTATCCTGCCTCGTAGAAAGATTTCCACTAGACCAAAAGATGCGCATTTTTCTGGACTACAGAGACTGTCATTCGGCTTTACGGCTACATAAAGGACCGCCAAGAAAACGACCAAAAACTTCATTCCCCTATCATTTTGGCACACACTGTAGGCATTTTACACAGTTTTAAGACGCAAAAACTTATAAAACAAGTCCGAAAAATCTACCAGTTTTAAAGAAGTGTTGGCTTTTTCTTGTCAAAAATCTCATTTTTCAGAAAAACCTCTTAAACGGTTTCGAGCACTTGTTCTTCCATGTTTCGGCAGTGAGCATTGCCATCGACGTACTTACGTATTTGCGCCTCAAGCTGAGCGTCAGTCAGTTTGACGAGCGTCAATTTTCGAGCTTCAGATTCGCCACCAGGCCTCAAATCAGAAAAGCAGCGCCGACCTGAGGCTTTCTATCATGGTAATCCGAATTCGCTCTATTTCGGTAAAAGTAACTTAACAGAGGGGATTAAGGGGTAGAAAACATTTGTATTTCCAAAAGTTATCCTGCTATTTTGGAAACGCGATCGAATAGAGCGCCTAAAATTCTCGGGTGTCGTAGGTAGGGGCGTAGCTAGGACCAAATTTCGGGGGCGGGGGCGAGCCCAGGGGCCCACCATACGCTACGTCCCTGGTCTTAGGCCATTTCGACGCACATCGTGCAGATGTTGCCTACGGTGCTTTTGCAAAAAGCCAGATTTGCCGGATTCCGATGGGTGCTATCCCACCTGGTCACCATCTACAATTATCATTGGCACACCGTGCATGCCGCCTCACAGTGCAAAAAACTAAGTGCAGGGGGACTCAACGAATTTCGGAAAATAAAATAAATCGTAACAAATTTCGACAGCTGTGGCGTAATCTTGCCCTTGATTTCAGAATGATCGTCATCTTCCTGATGCGCCCATCCGCTATAGAGAAAAAGTCACCGAAGTTGCAAAAAACCAAGATTAACGCGATTGACTGATTGACGCTTCGCAACAAGAACAAAAGAAAAAGACATCAACTTTGCATTTAAGCCAAAAATGTGGAAAAGTTATGCTTAAGCTTGGCATGGTCTATCACAAAAAACCTATAAGTATATTGAAAAAACACAAACGCTATACAACTATTTTTCACGGGGCTTGGTCTCTCTCTCTCTCTCTCTCTCTCTCTCTCTCTCTTTCTCCCCACTTGCGCCCGTTTCAGGTGGCTTATAACTATTCGACACTAGCTTCCTTTATCACGTTTTTTTGGCGCGGGTTGTTTTAAATATTTGTTGCAATTTCACACAAAAATAATCCAAGCTTTATTTGGCTCTTGGCACTTTTTCCCGAAAATATCTTTTTAGTTTTGGCACACTTCTATTGTCCAGGTTTCGGAGGTTCGATAAAATGAATGGAGCTTCAAATTAAGGCAAAGAAGGATTAGCCTTTTTCGCAGCAGCCGACATTTGCATAACAACGACAGCGACACGGGCGATATCAGTTGCGTAATTTTGACGAGACCGGCGGCGCCACCTCTTCCAACTTCTCGGGCAAATCGGCACAATAATTGAGAGGCTTGTTGCAGTAGAGTGAAGGCAAGATGTCAATGGTGAGACGCCTGCCACTAAAGAGGGATCTGAGCTTCAAAGAGCCTTTGAGACTTGGATTCGGTCTGAGGCTTGAGCCGAGAGGTTAAGCTTTTCGCAACCTGGTCATGTAAGCACGCACCAGCAAATAAAAACTCATTGTGCCCGATGCCAATGATCATCATTAGGTTGACGGCATGCGGCAGTATCATTAACACGCCAAAGCTGACCATCTAAAAAAAATGTCAAAAAGAAAACACAGCCCCACCTGGAAATGGAAAACATGCTCAAAAACTTCCATCATATGCCGGGTTTTTGTAGAAACAACGATGCTGCTCGCGGCCTTCATCGAAGTATGCAGGGCCCACATATACCCGAAAAAGCCACTGGCGATCAGCACGACCAAAACGATGGTGATTATAACCACGTAAGGCGGGAAGCTAACCAAAAATAATTGCGGCTGATTACATAGCAAGGGTTCCAGTTTGCAGATCTGAAAGAAAAGGGTGAGCGGTAGCGTCTAACATGACGGCGGCGTATTGCAAATCTCATTATCCCCTAAAACCCGACGCCTTGCAGCCCTAACAAGGTAAGTAAGGAGCAAAAATTCAGAAGATGGCCGATGGTGAAGTTCTTACTTCTACAGGATCTGTAATAACATAGCCGCAAAAATACAGATGCCAGCCACCGACGGTTACGTAGAGCAAGAGCAGCAGTATTCCAAACGGCAGGAAGTTGGCGGCAGTTCGGTTTCGAATCTCCAGCTCGCGTCTCTGTGTCAAACGCACTTTTACGAAGCCGGCGTATATAAACGAGAAGAAAATGTAGAACATGCTGATGACGCCGACTTGCTAAATATTGTGTCCTAGTTGTAGGTTGTGTGTGGTTGTTGAGTGTCTTGAGGCTTACAAGGGAAGTGTTTTTGACCCAGGTGGAAAAGCGCTATTTAACATACATCAATCGATAGAGAATTGAAAATAAAGGAAACCAGGGTTGAAAAGCCGCTTCGCGACTTTTCAACCCTGGCCCCGTCTGATCGCATGATGTACCTCACTTTGCATAATTCTTGGATTTCCGATGACAAAAAAGAAAAGCGCGCTTGCTAGCCATTTATATAGGCTACAGGAACTTCCGGCGCATGCTAATTTTTTCCTAACAAAGAGGATGGCCGATTTTCCAACAAAAACTTAATTTTAATGCCGAAATAGGCAATTTCGATAAATCTGATCTGCGTGCAGTCATCTCAGGGCCATTACGCACCTAATGACGTATCGTATGTAGCCTAATACCCTTCCCCTATTGAGATATCCTCCGGACAGAATGACGGAAGTGGATGCAAAGTGGCACAGACACACACACAAACACTATTTTTTTATATATAGTAGGATCTTTAAATATTAGCTTTTGCGTCCTCTGTTTAAAAAGTTATTAGGTTTTTATAGGGGGATTTTTATAGGGGCGAGGGGGGGGGATTTTATAGATTTTTTGGCGAAAATAGCAGTTTAAAAGCCAAATAACTTTTTAAGTAGAGGAGTAAAAAAAACTAATATTTAAACTTCACCTTTATTTTCAATTCTCCATCGATTGATGTATGTCAAATAGCGCTTTTCCACCTGCGTCAAAAACACTTCCCTTGTTAGGCCCAGTGTGTCAAAATGCCAACCAATTAGAATCCGAAACACCGTCGAAAAAATCTCACCGCTAGGAGCAAACACTCCAACGTGGAGACGGTGATTTGGAGCAGACGTATCGCCAACTTTGGAGCCAGAAAAACCACCTTGCAAATCGTCGTCACCGTGTCGGTGAATTGACAGGCGCACTGGAACAACCAATTTAACGAGGAAAGCTGCCAAAAGCCGACGGCGCCAGATACGGGCAACTGTAGCCCCCTGAAGCCCGAAAGAGACGTTCAATTACGAGTGGATGAAGGCCCGAATTATAGCTTCCAGCTTCAGATTTGCCGGCATTTTGAGCAGATTATCGCTGTATCGGAACTGTCTAAGAATTACCATTAGATTTATCTGCACGATCTTATAATTTCGACTGGCCAGCGGATGACCATTGAGAAGAAAAATCGCAATACAGAACAGCAATGCCCCCAGGCACCACAACACATTGTAGGCGCGGACGATAACGGCAACGTCATGCTCGTCAGGAATAAACATAGCTGAGAGTTGTCCCAAATGGCTGGGAATTGACGTCCATCACCGCACTGCAGAAGCACCTGCACATTGGAAATTTGCTTTTCTGGCCCGAGTTTACGGCCAACAAACTACACGGGAAACGTGACTGACATGATTTCCACTTCCTTCCCATGCCTCTATAATTATCAGCTTAGAACCAATGTTCTGTCGCCGAGATTTTGGAAGGTCGGCTAAAATCGTAGATAGCTCCAATTTTGACATGCTATGTCTCATTTTGTAGTTCCCGGCCTGAACCCTTCCGGGAGGACGGTCCTAGGCCACCAAAATCAAGGAGAATTCAGTTGCATGCTCTCACTTTTTGACAAAATTACGAAAAAATGTGCGTACTTTGATGCGTCGGCGCCGGTATTCTAAGCGGCGCGTGGAGAGTCGACCCGGACGAGGTCAAAAATATGTACCTCTTACTCTCCCACTCACTATATATCTTTTTCTTTCTCGAAGGATTTTCAATAATTGCTAAAGTTTTTGATAAGGAAAAATCAAGCTTTTTTGAGAACCTGTATTTCGAGTCACGTCAAGAACCTATGGCCGAATGCCTATGATGGTCCTCCAAAGCGAAGGCGGCTTCACTATACCCTCGAACAACGCCAAGATTAAAATAAAGACGTTGAAATCGCACCACTTGAGAGGCAATATAATATCACTTAATGCTTTAATAAAACTTTAATATTATCGAAAACAGGTCCATAAATACAAAACTTTTAATAAAACACACCTGTTTAATATTCGTCGTCACCCTAGTTATAACCCAGACAAACCGCTGAAAATTTTATTTTATGTGGAATGCTGTTATTTTTGAGCTGCACGGTTTTCTCTACTGCCCTTGCCGACAACACCTGGGATCCATGTAAAACTAAATAACCGAAAAACCTGAATGTCATTTCTAGATGAGCGCCAAGTCCTGTACCAGGGCCCATTCTTCGAGTTAAAGGGAGGATTCAACACTGGTGATGAGCTAGAGATATTTATTTTTACGAAATCGTCACTGTAAGGAGCAAATTTCTGATTTCGAAGTTAAGTGTGTTAAGTTTTGAGCTGCGGATCAGCGAGAAGCCCTATACCGGCCTGGGATTCCCGACGCCGCTGCTTGCCCGGTTTGTCGGGGGTGAGGAGAAGCAGATTCATCTGAATTATCGCACTTCGACTGACGTAAGAAATCTATTAAACGATGGAGAGGTTTAATATTATAACTTGTCGCTCATTCTAGACTGACTGGAATGGGGGCGCGGATCAACCATTAGCGCGGTACGACTGGGACGAGACGTGCGAGTGTTATGCGGGGAAGATCTCGATTTTGTAAGGGTTTTACCGGAACCAAAAGCATTCTGGCGATATATGTAATTGGAATACGCCCTAATGAAAGGGAGATTAGTGGTGCGTATCTTTCACGATTTAGCAAGAGCTCAAACGGAAAGTTCCGCGTCGGCTCCACCTTCCAGAACCGTGACTTCGACTGGCCGTCGGTGCATGAGGAGATGACGAGCACCTTCTTGGCCATGATTATATTTTTTTGAGGAATTCAAAGCGATTTTTAGTTTACCCAACCTTCGATCGTCGCCGTGACCCATCATCGACCACGGGTTTGAAAATCGTAAAGCTACATGAGAGGCAAAGTTTTTAACTCAACTCGGTTTGATCCAATTAAAATTCGATCCTGATTCAGATATAATCTCACTATCGTATAGGGCGTCAAAATTTAAGCCATTGGACATAATCATTTTCAAACTACTATTTCTTAGAAAAATCCCGAATGCCTGATGATGACTCGCGGGTACCATACGCCGAGACCAACCCCTGAATACCTACTAGGAAAAATCAAACAATGGGAACGTCGAAGGGCTTTTAAAAGTAAGCTAGGATTGATGCACGTCAACAGCGTGTATGATTCTGATATTCAAAAATCCATGCCGTCAATTGCAGTCGACTTCTTCCCCCATTTCCCAATCCATGATCTAATGCATTTCAACGACGGTGACGATGACCGTGGTCCCGTCACGAATAGCACTATTTTTATCTGCCTCTGGAACATAACGCCTCTTAATGGGGAGAGGTACTGGGATACCTATTTCAAAGATGTAAGGAAGTTCACTTTTAGCTTCTGGATCGTCAACAACAAATACCCATTTGACCAGAGGCTGGATCGAGAGTTATCGATTGCTTTCGAGTTTGACCTCAAAAAGCAAACAGCAACCATGGGCTTCAGGCATAAGGTAATTTAGAACTGTGATGTTGTGTCGGAAAACTCAAGTTGGTCTGGGTTGATCAAATTATAAAATTCAGGGCCTCAACTACGCGCTGAACACAAAACGCTTCCCGCCATCCAAAAATGGGAAATACGGGACGTGCTTCCAATTTGGGATGAGGAGGTGGGAACTTTTTTTGAGGATCTTCTGGCAATTGGGCTTCAGATTTGGCGTTGGAGAAATCATCTGGATGGCCGATGGGATATTTGGGAAGGTAAGGAGTAGCGAGAACTAGCCTTAAATGGTAAATTATTGGCAAAGTGGTGGCTGAGGTGTTTTCCGATTAGCTAGCGCTTGTTGACCTACGCCAGTTATAGGTTTTCCAACTTCGTGCCTAATCAGCTATACAAACCTAAAATTACATTGAAGACACCTAGAATGTAATTTTTTCCTTTAGGAAGCCATATCCCAGGGCCGTGTCAGATTGAAGGCTGCCTGGCTGTCGGTATGCTAATTTCTTCAAGGAAATCAAATGACTTTTTTTCGTTCCTGGGTCAATTTGGGCTCGGAAAGACATACGTTGGCGTATCCTACAAAGTGGATGGCAAACGAAAGTATTGGTATACACCGAGTGTCCCGGTTGAGCACCAGTAAGTCTTTGCCGTATTTATTTTAATGTCGATACATATTTTTGACGCCGGCTTGAGTTAATTATACTATTTCCAGGGTTCTGCTGAAAAAAGCGTCGGAGGAGATGGACAAACGAGGAACACCTGAAAAATGGAGGCGCCTAAAACGCGTCCGCTACGAGACGGATCGGGATGAAAAAGATGATAATGATGATAATTTTGAGATTATAACGCTCGATCGGCAATAAATCAGTTATTATTAGATCGACGACATAAATAATAGTAAAATAAATTTTGGGGATAAAAATAACGTTTTCAATAAAGTCCCTGGTTGTATAATATGCGGTCGGCAGCATAAAAACACGTAGATAGAATGCGAAACATCATTTTCCCACCCAAAATGCTACTCTTCTGCCTCAGCGTCCTTTTCCTAAATGTGCTCGCCGGCAACTATTACGACAAATGTAAATTTATTACACGCGACAATCGCAAAAATGCCTCATCAAATTTCGGATTTCAAGATTTTTTGGTTTTTCGTTTTTTTTCATTCAATACCAGCGGGGGAGGAGCCGCTTCGCGACTCTCCCCCGCTGGACCCCGTCTAGGCCCTATGAATCGAGTGCCCTTCCACATACTGCGGCGCTAGCTTGAGCGGCTAGCTTCATTCTGAAGCCTGCGGCGCTAACTTGAGCGGCTAGCTTCGTTTTAAAGCCTGCGGCGCTAGCTTGAGCGGCTAGCTTCTTTCTAAAGCCTGCGGCGCCAGCTTGAGCGGCTGGCTTCGTTCTAAAGCCTGCGGCGCAAGCTTGAGCCTCCTTATCCCGCGGCGCAATTTCGAAGGGCTAGCTCTGACCTTGGGCCCGCGGCGCTAGCTTCCCCGGCTAGCTTCTTTCCGCAGCCTACGGCGCTGTTTTCAGGGGCCGGCCTGAACCTTTATCCTGCGGCGCTAGTTTCGGCGGCTAGCGTCGCTCCAAAGTCTGCCGCGCTAGCTTGAGCAGTTAGCTTGATTCCTTGGCCTGCGGCGCTAACTTGAGCGGCTAGCTTCGTTCTAAAGCCTGCGGCGCTAGCTTGAGCAGTTAGCTTGATTCCTTGGCCTGCGGCGCTAACTTGAGCGGCTAGCTTCGTTATAAAGCCTGCGGCGCCAGGTTGAGCGGCTAGCTTCATTCTAAAGCCTGCGGCGCTAACTTGAGCGGCTAGCTTCATTCTAAAGCCTGCGGCGCCAGCTTGAGCGGCTGGCTTCGTTCTAAAGCCTGCGGCGCTAGCTTGAGCGGCTAGCTTCATTCTAAAGCCTGCGGCGCTAACTTGAGCGGCTAGCTCCGTTTTAAAGCCTGCGGCGCTAGCTTGAGCGGCTAGCTTCGTTCTAAAGCCTGCGGCGCCAGCTTGAGCGGCTGGCTTCGTTCTAAAGCCTGCGGCGCGCTTGAGCGGCTAGCTTCGTTCTAAAGCCTGCGGCGCTAGCTTGAGCGGCTAGCTTCGTTCTAAAGCCTGCGGCGCCAGCTTGAGCGGCTGACTTCGTTCTAAAGCCTGCGGCGCTATCTTGAGCGGCTAGCTTCATTCTAAAGCCTGCGGCGCCAGCTTGAGCGGCTAGCTTCATTCTAAAGCCTGCGGCGCCAGCTTGAGCGGCTAGCTTCATTTTAAAGCCTGCGGCGCTAGCTTGAGCGGCTAGCTTCGTTCTAAAGCCTGCGGCGCTAGCTTGAGCGGCTGGCTTCGTTCTAAAGCCTGCGGCGCAAGCTTGAGCGGCTAGCTTCGTTCTAAAGCCTGCGGCGCTAACTTGAGCGGCTAGCTTCATTCTAAAGCCTGCGGCGCCAGCTTGAGCGGCTAGCTTCATTCTAAAGCCTGCGGCGCAAGCTTGAGCGGCTGGCTTCGTTCTAAAGCCTGCGGCGCTAACTTGAGCGGCTAGCTTCATTCTAAAGCCTGCGGCGCCAGCTTGAGCGGCTGGCTTCGTTCTAAAGCCTGCGGCGCTAGCTTGAGCGGCTAGCTTCATTCTAAAGCCTGCGGCGCTAACTTGAGCGGCTAGCTCCGTTCTAAAGCCTGCGGCGCTAGCTTGGAGCGGCTAGCTTCGTTCTAAAGCCTGCGGCGCTAGCTTGAGCGGCTGGCTTCGTTCTAAAGCCTGCGGCGCAAGCTTGAGCGGCTAGCTTCGTTCTAAGCCTGCGGCGCTAACCCGAGCGGCTAGCTTCATTCTAAAGCCTGCGGCGCCAGCTTGAGCGGCTAGCTTCATTCTAAAGCCTGCGGCGCTATCTTGAGCGGCTAGCTTCGTTCTAAAGCCTGCGGCGCCAGCTTGAGCGGCTAGCTTCGTTCTAAGGCCTGCGGCGCCAGCTTGAGCGGCTAGCTTCATTCTAAAGCCTGCGGCGCTAGCTTGAGCGGCTAGCTTCGTTCTAAAGCCTGCGGCGCCGGCTTGAGCGGCTGGCTTCGTTCTAAGGCCTGCGGCGCAAGCTTGAGCGGCTAGCTTCGTTCTAAGCCTGCGGCGCTAACTCGAGCGGCTAGCTTCATTCTAAAGCCTGCGGCGCTAGCTTGAGCGGCTAGCTTCATTCTAAAGCCTGCGGCGCAAGCTTGAGCGGCTGGCTTCATTCTAAAGCCTGCGGCGCTAGCTTGAGCGGCTAGCTTCATTCTAAAGCCTGCGGCGCTAGCTTGAGCGGCTGGCTTCGTTCTAAAGCCTGCGGCGCCAGCTTGAGCGGCTGGCTTCGTTCTAAAGCCTGCGGCGCCAGCTTGAGCGGCTAGCTTCATTCTAAAGCCTGCGGCGCAAGCTTGAGCGGCTAGCTTCATTCTAAAGCCTGCGGCGCAAGCTTGAGCGGCTGGCTTCGTTCTAAAGCCTGCGGCGCCAGCTTGAGCGGCTAGCTTCATTCTAAAGCCTGCGGCGCTAACTTGAGCGGCTAGCTTCATTCTAAAGCCTGCGGCGCTAGCTTGAGCGGCTAGCTTCGTTCTAAAGCCTGCGGCGCTAGCTTGAGCGGCTAGCTTCGTTCTAAAGTCTGCGGCGCCAACTTTGAGCGGCTAGCTCGTTCTAAAGCCTGCGGCGCGCTTGAGCGGCTAGCTTCGTTCTAAAGCCTGCGGCGCAAGCTTGAGCGGCTAGCTTCATTCTAAAGCCTGCGGCGCTAGCTTGAGCGGCTAGCTTCGTTAAGGCCTGCGGCGCCAGCTTGAGCGGCTAGCTTCGTTCTAAGCCCGCGGCGCAAGCTTTAGCCTCCTTATCCCGCGGCGCAATTTGAAGGGCTAGCTCTGACCTTGGGCCCGCGGCGCTAACTTGCGGCCGGCTTCCTTCCGCAAGCCTGCGGCGCTAGTTTGAGCGGCTAGCGTCGTTCTAAAGCTCGCGGCGCTAGCTTGAGCAGTTAGCTTGATTCCTTTCTGCGGCGCATGCTGAGCGGGTAGCTTCATTCTATAGGCTGCGGCTTGAGTGACTAACTTCATAATAACGTCCCTACACGGAAATCCACTCCAAAACGCACTTTCCGAGCAAAAAGCAAAACAACTACGATATCCGAGGATCGAACCTACGATGGTTAGATTAGCACGGCAAAGCGCTAACCACTACACCATGCAATGTTTGGCAGCACGCGCCAAAACTCCTTTTGGGCATTGCCCGGGGCAGGGGAAGCAAAAGCATTGAGAGGCAGATCCAAAGAGACGACCAAACTCGCGAGTGCAACTGGCAAGAATGAGGAAATTTGTATTTTTCACATTATGCAAATTAGCCCGCCGGAACCCCAAAAATCAATAAAACCGGCTTTAACTTTGTAAACTTATATTTTATCGGGATTCTGAAAACGCCATCGGAAGAGGGAGGGTCGATTCCCACGGTTGACGGAGAATTAGGGCATTTTGGACACGGGAAGGCCCTCAAATCGAGCCTCCCGAAACTGACCTCCGCACACACACACACAAAGATACGCGACCAAATTATATAAGGTAGGATT